GAGGAGCCAGAGGGACCTGATTTTTTCACGGATTATCTGCCTCATATATATATATGCCTCAAATATAACAATGCTGACTGACAACCCAATAGAAATGTGTGTTTTGCTGTCATTTGTGATTCTAGAAGTAGCTAAAGTAAGACATTTTCAAATCCAACATACTGTATAGGGGGCTTTAAAGCTGCGTTAGTTTAAAAAAAAAAGTTTTGTTTTTTTGCCACTTGGGGTTTGTCAAAAATAAAGCTGTTATGGTGAATGTGTTACAGTAGCAGAGAACTGTCTATTTACACATCAAGCAGAGCATTCATTTGCACTCATCTTTCTGATCCCGGCCACAAATGTAAGTTATTTTTTCATGCATCTTTTCTTAAGACACCCCCATTTCATAAGAAATAAGATAAATAAGATCATAAGAAAGGTTCAGCCTCTTTATCAGCTTGTTTTACTTATCTTGGTCTCTGTTTAAATGAACATAATCAAATTTACATTGGAAAAAAGTAAAATGATCTCACTCCACGTTCAGATTGCTGCACTTCTTTTCAGAAACACAAGACTGTAAGACTGAACAATGACTAATCAAGTTGTTTGCATCATCTAACATTGTTGATCTCGAGGCATGTTCATCACATAATAAACAAAGGGGAGCTGTACAGTAGTTGAGTTGTTGTGAGGTGTGACATTATACCTCCATCCACTGGGTGACACTGTGACACAGGACAGGGTTGGGTTTTTTTTTTTTTATCACGGACACCTCTCTCCTCACACCTCAGGCTGCTTCTGCCAACAACTTCTCAACAACCTCCATTTCAGAAAGCCCCCTCCCCCCCTCCGCCCACCCTGCTGGCTACTGACCCGTCAAAGCCATTTGGTGAAACATAACGTCTATATGTGAGTATTATTTGTAGAACTGCAACAGTAGGCTACAGCAAACGAAACGACACGTCCCATATTGGAGACAGTACATACCGTATACCAGCGGACCACAAAAGCAAGTGTAGGTTTGGGTAATAATACTCAGTGCTTCAGTGTGAGGACTTACACTCCATTTTTTACAAAGTTTAACTAGACTGAGGCATCTCTTTGTTACACAAATGATACAAATACAAAACACATGTGAACACTTGCAAAAGTGTCCCGACATACAGCACACACACAGCTTTCACAAGCACTCACAGTTAGTACTCAGGCTCACTCTGTCACTCTCTCTCTCACACACACACACATTCACACAGACAGTAGCTGTGTCATCATATGAAATTAGGTCTAAGCTAGTGGTACATTTACATATTATATTAGTTTATATTCATAAATACGATTACAGTCGTATCATAATGTACATGTAGGTTTATCATTACATTATCACACAAAGGAGGCTCGTTCTTCGGCTGTAGGGGGGGAGCGAGCTCATTGGCTGGGTGAGAAGGAGGAGATGAATCTGATTTGCTGATAGGAGAGAAGTCAAACGTTTTTGCTGCAATGCAGAGACGTCAGAAAGTCTGACATTTTTGAATTGTTCACAAGGAAAAATGCAATGATCTGCCTCAATGAGTCCGAGTTCCTAATGCAGGACTGTTAAGGGGGTTCGTCACTATGACTAAAAGACATAATAATAGACATTTTGGTAAATATGCTGAGAGTTAGGTATGAAGATTGATACCTCTCTCAAGGTTGTATGCCAAATATGCCTATAGCTATCTACAGCCAGGGCGCAGTTAGCTTAGCTTTCTACATCTGCCTGCCTGATTTCAATCTTTGTGCTAAACTAACTGGCTGTAACTTCATATTTAACGGACAGATGCGACAGTGGTATCATCTAACCATCCATAATTGACAGGATGGTCCAGTATTGAAAAATAAAATGCACACAATGTCACTTACTGAATCACTACGGGACGTGATACTCTTATGCTTTTAGTAGAAGAAGTAGGAGCAGTATTAAATAAGAATTCTCTGAATGCCACCTGGTTACAGAGACTGAAGTGCCGCAGTGTCACAGGCGCATGGACGCCGACTGACCGAGCAGGTTTACTTCTACACCCCTACGACCCGTCCTGAGAGTCCACAGGGACGGCCAAAGGACTTGAAATGAACAATTTCGATTTGTAGGTAAGTGTCAGTAATTACACCACAGAAATGCAATGTTTGGGGGATACTGCACCAACAACAACGCGCTGAGCATAAATGCCTCTGCGTGCTTGTAGACATGTGGCAAATACCTCCAGCTCAAGTCCGCCCGCTCATCCAATGGAATACATAGATGTTGTTATCATAAGCTACAAGCTGGGAATTACTGACTTGCGTGAACTGTGCAGTTATCCGCTACCACATTCATTCACATTCACAAGCAGGTGAGTACACGCGCACCCCACCCAGGCTTCCTCTTCAACCTTTTACTCGTTTTCGAATTGATTTTAGATCTGAGCTGAGTTCAGCAAAGTTCCTCTCCCTCCACGTATTATCAAAGCGCTTCCTCTCTGACATTTAGGGAGGAAGAAGACAAAAGGGGGGAGAGCAGGACAGTGGGAGAGGAAGAGGAGAGATAGCTATTTCAGCTTTTCATGTGAAACAACAATGAATCATGGAGGCAGGTTTGGCCTTTCAGAGAAATACCGTTTGTGTCATACGGCCTGTAATTACTGTCCTGATTATCCCCGCTCCGTGCTGTTCTCCCGGCTCGTTCTCTTGCTCAAATTGTGGGTCTTTTTTAGTGAAGCGAGATCATGATTCATATTATTCTGCATATTTCCCTGTTTCTGCTTCTGTTTAATCACATATACTGTATGTCACACTGTTAAGTTAGTCCAATGTTGCCCAAACTAATTGTTTTACTTTACAATAGAGAACACAAATCAGATTTTTTATATATAATAATTTAGCCAGGTTGTGACTTAGTTAAAGTCTCTTTTAAAATTCAGCCTAGTTAAATAATACCAGAAATAGAAACAGCAATTTCTTAATAAATTAGCTTGTTAATTAGCTCTATTACAGCTAATGAACTTACTCCAATAATTGCGAATAATGACACAACTCGTGAGAATGAGTTATTGCGTTGTTTTAAAATAATCATTAATTAGACAGGTCTCTTATCATCAATCAAAACATTTTACTGTTCATCAGCTTCATGCTTTAAATATGTTTTGTCAAAGTTACAAAAGATTTGGTTATTTAATTTTAGTTTTCTGTCCATGCTGTTTTCACTGTGCTCTTCTCAGTGTTTTAAAAAGGGGCGGGTCTCTGGAGGAAAATGCCGATGTCACTAATTTCTGTCCACCAATCACAGCTGAGCAACATTTGTATGAGTACAAAGTTGCAGTCCTGATGAAGCACATTAGCTAGGATTTTGAATGTTAATGCTAAACTAATAATTTTGGTATCTGAGTGGTTACAGCGTGGTAGCAGCGATCGCTGGTTCGATTTCCTTGTAGCATGTCTCCCTGGCATAAGTTTCCTGTCGGCCTCTTCACCTGTCGCTATCTAATGAAACCACAAAATCCGCCATTAAATGGGCTTTAAAACCACAATGTGTAGTATTTAAATAAGGATCAACTTGTCCCCAGACAGAAAGATAAAAACTAATTTTGGGAGACTATAAACATAAATTCTACACAGGATGGCTTTAATTATGTAAGGCTGATGAAGTAATTTCTTGCCATTCAAATAATTATAATAATTATTATTCTTATTATATACTATTATTAATGTCAATTTTCACACTTCCTGTTGTTTTAATGTCCTTTTAATAAAACACATATAATTATTTTGATGAGACATTGATTTTGTTAGCATGTGTGGAAAAGCTCTCGGGGCAGCCAGAAGTCACTAAGCAGCACATCAGCATGCTTCGCCATGCTGCTGGAGGCAGCCGTCTGAGACATTCATCACTGCCTGCCTCGCTCTCAGAGCGTGACGCGTGCGTACAGCGTGCTGTAATCTATCGGAAATGCTTCTTTAAGTGCTTTAACTGGTTGCCGTTGCGGCTGTTGGGGAACTAATGAATGCAACTGCACACACACGCAGGGGGTGAGGGACGTTTGATCTGGGTTCATGAAGTGTATTTAGTTAGTTATGTCCGCACACACATTCTCACATTCACACCATAACACAAACTAACACACAGCTCATGGTATTGTTCATTTACATGATTCTCTCTCTATCAGCAGAAAATTCGCTTCTCACAGACAACAGGCCCTTTGTTGGTTTGATGCCATTCTTTTTTTCAAACTATCCCATGATGCACCGCTACTAAACACCATGGGTTTGTTTCGAAATGAGCATCCTGGGTGACAGAATTTACTCTAAAGTAATATAAAACCTTGACAAGAGTTAGAATATCAATATCACTCTCATATCTGTACAGTGAATATGAAGCTGGAGCCAAGAGAACCATTAGCTTAGCTTAGCATAAAGACTGAAAACAGGTTGAAACAGTTAGCTCTGCCCAAAGGTAAAAATATGACAAGTTGCAGTTATATCAGGGGTTATGAGCCAGTCTATTTCTTGGTTGGCAACCAGTGAGGGCTGTCAGATCACCAAGAATTCACGATACTATTGCAATAACTATAGACAATTTGAAAAAGTAAATAAATATTGCATTAAGTCAAATTTATCTTTAACTTTTACTGTGTTTTATCTCACAATATGAGTGCTGGGAGGTGCAGACACAAACAAAGTGTTTACATAATCACGTGTATTATTAAAATGATATCAATATTTCATTTTTTAAATATTGCAACACCCCTTCAACCAGAAAACACTCCACAAAAACCACAACTTGTCGTCTTGACACTTTGTCTTTGTCTGTCACTGGGGACTCTAATATATTTTCTTCATGGCCACTGAAATCTGTGTTAATTTACATCAGTTGGAAGCAACCTGCTCTGCAATTATACAATGTGCAAGTGTTACATAAAGACAGCAGACCTTTGCAGTTAAGTCACCCTGCAGTCTTGTAATCTCACACGCTAGGCACAGAGCCTGGCTGTGTCACTTATACATATCTCCTTTGTAAATCCCTACAATATTTCTCAGGTCTGTGCCCAATGAGCTGCAGGAATTCACACATCATCAGATTGGATTTGTAAAGACACCCAGCTAGACTGAAGCAGGAGTGCTGCAGGAGTGTACTGCACAGCGGGACGGTCTGAAAGAAAAGAATGGCATCAATCAGAGGGTCCACTGTGTTCCAAACATAGCTCATTCCCCGTCATCACTGCCTAAAAAAAAAAAAAAGGGAGAAAAGCTTCCCTATTTCCTCCCCAAACTGCATCCCTCCCTCTCCTCCCCAGCCCATCTGTTCTCCCATCCTCCTTCCTTCTCTTGTTTCAGTTCAACTCTTCACCCGTCCCTCCCCTCCCTCCCTCTGTTTCTCCACCCATCCCACTCTCTCTACTTCTGCATGTCACACTGCAGCAGTAGGACGATGGAGGGGTCGGACTTGGCCGCCTCTTTGAACTCTTCCAGGGTGATCTCATCATTGTGGTCCTTGTCCATCTTGGAGAAGATCTTGTCCACGCGCTGCTGCGGGGTCAGCCCGTCCTCATTCATACGCATCATGATCACCGTGCCCACCATCTTGTAGATGGCCTGCAGAGCGGGAAAGGAAAACAAATGTTTAGATTTTGAGGATTTCTTTTATAGGGACAGGAACCGGTGAAAGCCCACAAACTAAACTAACTCCAGCCCACTCCCTCCTCACAAACACACACCTCGATGATCTCCAGCATCTCCATGCGTGTGATCTTTCCATCTCCGTCCAGGTCGTACATATTGAAGGCCCAGTTGAGTTTCTGCTCGAAGCTGCCCCTGGAGGTGATGGACAGGGCGCAGATGAACTCCCTGAAGTCGATGGTCCCGTCGCCGTTTTTGTCAAATGTCCGAAACGCATGCTGGGCGAACTTGGAGGCGTCACCATATGGGAAAAACTGAAAGGTGGAAAATGAGAGAAACGAGGTGATGTAAATGATGCATGAGATGCATTGTGCATCACTCATTGAAAGACCCTATTGAGTTGAATTATGGGGAATGTAGGATCCAGTGTTAAGTTTGACCCATATTGGGCCCTAAAAGTCAGGATATATGTCGACCTCTGCTGCATCTGCATGACTATTCTTTTTTTAATTTGTCTCTTGTGAGTCCCCAAACTTTATTGAAAGGAAATACTAAATCGCTGTGCCCCTCCATCAGGTGTTTTAACCTTCTTTACTGACCTTGTTTTAATCAATCTGTGTCAACTGTATGCACAGAGTGGAGTTTCCCTTCATTTTCTGCATTTTTGTTTTGTTCTATTGAGTTTGTTCTATTTTACAATTATTTTTTATAAAATATTTGAAATTACAGCTATATTATTGTAAAACAATATGTGCATCTGCATGTTTCAATTAATTGCTTAAAAAGTCTTATTTTTTTCAGCCGTCAACTCTTCTACTCTTCAAGCAATTTGTTTTCAACAATTACTAAATTAAAATTGTAGTTTTTCTGATGTATTTTTTAAAAAGGTTTATAAGATCTTAAAATACCTGCGATATGTGATAGATGTGGTTTCTTAATTGGCCTCATATGTGTCACTGTTACTATGAGTTAGATTTAAGAAAGAAGTGAGAGAGCTGGACTTTGTTGGATGTGGGAGGGTTTTAATGGCAGGAAAGCAGAATCGGAGTAGGACTATTACAGTGTGAGCTCAGTTGACATTAGCTTACCAGATTGTGATAGCTTCATTAGCATATACATGTCGCTATATGTAGGAATGTTTGGCAATTAATATTTCATTTTACTGTTAATAACAAGTCTGTCTTCTGAATGGCTAAACTGGGTTTTAGCAGGCAGGAGCCTTCCCTTACATAAACAGGAAATGGTAGTAGTTGGTAAAGACATTTTAGAGATGAAGTGCAGCTATTGGAGACTTGTTTACAAAATGAAACTGTACTCCTAATGCAGGTGGGACCTCAATCCATCCATTCATTTTCCTATCATGTACATTCACTGCCTGATACCATAATTCAACTTGATGACAACAGTTAGTTTCTCATTCACAGTGACAGATTAATACTTGAAGTACAAGCCACAGTTGTTCTCTGAACATTTTAGAACTGAATGGGAGAGAATGAAAGAATATGCAAAACTGATTTAAAAATATCTTTAACCCCTGTGCATTTATGTAAGATCAGTCAGCCTCTCTGGCACTGTGCCATCTGAAAGGCTCCAAAATGAGTTGACAGAGTTTCAGACAGCAACAGAGCTGCCTGGCTGTTACAGGGTCTGCCTCCTCCCTTTGCCCCAAACATAGGACGATTAGTCAGCCATAGTAACATAGGCTCTCTATGTAACAACCCAACAAAGCTCTGAATAATTTAAGAGGTAACTGTTGTTCATTTGTTGTTTCATTTGATATAACTAACTACACAGTGAGCCCTGTTTTCACTGCAGGCAATTCAGGACATAGCTATGAAAACATTGTGATTCCCATTTGTACAGAGCCCAGCCCCAACTGCATAACCAACTGCCATGCTTTCAGCTCCTCTGCTTCATGTCCTCTCTCCTGCCCTCCACCTCGCCCTCACCTTAACATAGAGCTGCTGAAACTCGTCTAGGTTGAGGATGCCGGAGGGACAGTCTTTGAGGAAGCCTTTGTACCACTGCTTGAGCTCCGCCTCGTTGAATTCGGTGTTCTTGGTCAGGTCATCCAGGACCTCTGGAGCCAGCTTGCTGTTGTGTTTCCCCATGATGCTTCACCTCTCTGGGGGGGGGGGCAGATACAGAGCAAGAGACAGGCTGAGCAAACAGGTGAGGAGGTGCTAGACAAATAACAACGACAGCAGTAATGCCTCTGTGTTGTTGCAAGAGCACAGGTCTCTGAGGACGGATGCAAACAAGGAATTACCTTCACAGGGACACCACACAGAGGAAAGCTGCACTGTCTTTGTGTGGCTTTGTGTGTCAAAATATACAGTATAAAACATTCACTCACATATAAACACTACAAACATATTCTGAGCATGCCATCTAGTCCGACATTTACTAAGAAAAATGTATTTTTACTTAAAATAAGCAAGGTTAGCTATTTTTTGGAAAGCATTAAGTCAAAGTTAAATAAGGATGGTGTAGTTGGGACAGTGATAAAGGTCTTTGATTTTGTCAAACGTGAATTTTATTGTCTTTGTACTTTAGACATCAAATGAAACACTTTCCTGGCTAAAATCTTCTTCAAGTAAACACAAACGGGTCTACCTTGGGGATTGCTTATCTGACTCAATATTAGTACAGCATTGGTGTGCACCAGGGTTCCATATTTAGCCCTTTACTGTTTAGTGTCTATAGAAATGACCCACTTTTAGTTCAGACACAAATGCATGCAGATGATGCACAACAAAAAAGCTGAGATTAATGCTGAGACATTAATAGATGCTACCTCAAATACTACATGGTGGACTTCTTCATGGTACCTACATGCAAACAAAAAAATTAATTTTTTAACTGTAAAAAACAAAAACTGTATTTTTCTAAGATAACAGCCTTTGTTAAAAGGAGAACATCTCTTGGAGTTGCTTTCTTGTCTAACTTAAGGTTAATGGGGTGTTAGCTGCTGCTCGATGCTATTAAACTGCACATGCATGCAATGTTTCTCTGATATATTTTGTTCAATATGCGTTTAAAGCAGTATATGGACTTCTGTCTTATATTTAAACTTCTGCATGAAATGACACCTCCTCCTTTAAGCCACTTTGTCAAACTCATGGACAGCACTCAGAGGAAAATGTGGGCGGTTGCCAGAGGCAACTGTATAAAACCATTCAGAAGCAGCAGAATTGGACAATCAGCCTTTGAAAGTAGGAACACTTTGGAATACCTTACATATGGAAATAAGGAACTGCACTAAATTTAAATAATAATAAAAAATAATAATTATATATAATACATAATAATAATTTGTTAAAATCTACTCAGATGTGCACTCATGTATGATCTGATGTTTTTATAGATTAACTCATATTTTAGACTTATCCGATTCTGCTGTTGGTTTAAGATTGTTAGAGCATTTTTAGTTATGTTTGGACAATGAACTGTTGAACTATACCTGTCCCTTATAAATGACTTGTTTGTAATGCATAATCAGCTGTTGCAGGAATTTTCCATCTAAATAAGACAAAGTAAAGAGTATGGGTTATTGAAGGAAAACTGCATTGGACAATAGGGCTGTGTATTGGCTAGAATCACGATACTTTAAGTATCACGATACTGCGAGACTGTTAGCAAGGGAAGAGAAGACAAAAAGAAGTTTACTTCTTATGCAAGCATGCAACCGTTTACAACCCTGCTATATTGCAGTTGGGGGTTTAACTGAATATTGCAATATTGATATTTTTTTACATTTTCTTACACCCCTATTGGACATGTAATTATCTGATGATTTGTTGGAATGGATGGTTTTAGCAGTGCACATACATTACAGACAACATATCCATGGTACAAAAGGTCTTCCCATTCCCATAATGATTCATATCGTTCTACCTCCATAATCACCTGATAGCATCACTGCTATTTGGTCCATAAAATGGCCCATTACCCTGGCCCCTCAACACACATATTCACATGGCTGAGGACCACTGCAGTGCCTTCATGACGCCATCCCTGACTCATACTCCTGTCTGACAGCTTTCGCACTTTGACACCAGGACGCAGCCGATGCAGCCGAGTCAAGCGGCCTCCGCTAAATTGCAGAGAGTGTGGGGACAGTTTAGAGGCTGAAATACCATCCTGCTGAGCTTTATGGCAAGTGAGTCATGCAGAAAGAGGCAACAAAACCCTAAGTCACTGCAAACTGCACAAATATTCTGGACTTTATATCCCTGTGACAAGTGGGAGGCACTGCAGGGGAGCCATGAGCTTAGAGGCTGAGCAATAAAGGATATCAATAGGCCAACAGGCCATTCCAGCATTAACTTGTTCTGAAAAGGTCACCTGTGATCTTATCTAGTAGAAACACAAAAAGGAATGTAACTCTCTCCTCTGAGAATCTTCTTATGGTTGTTGAAGAAAAAAAAAAGATTGCTGTTGAAAGAAGAAGAAGAAGAAGAAGAAGAAGAAAATGAAAAGAAAATGCCTGTAAACTGGATGACAAATATAAAAGCAGGTGCAATCAAAGAGTTAAAGCTTTAACACAGTCCTGTACAATTCAAACATCTTTCACTTTTTCTTAGCTATTTCTGGATAATAGCTTCCATTTTTAGCATCATTTATAATAGAACCCAGCATGTGTCAACCACAAAAGAGCAATTCTAAGTGTTCCATTTCCACAAAGGAGCCTGTGTTTAAATTGTGCAGTGACACAAACGGATCCCTTCAGAGGTGACTCTTTTTTTTTTTTGGTTTTAAAGGCGACTGTTTTGTGTTTTTCAGGGCATTGGTGTAATGCATTACTCGCGCACACACACAAATACATGCTTAGACACTTGAGCACACGCAGGTTTCACAAGGTTAACTGCTGCAGGAAGGACAGATGCTGAGGGCGGCAGATCACATGAGGGGGTTCATGTTGTGGCAGCAACACCTGTAGCACCAATATCCCCTGAGAGGCCATCATTAAATTACTAGTATTCAATTAATAAATCTCTACTCTCTGTCTTAAATGTGTACAGTCTCTGCCTCAACCGCAGGAATCTCAAGTCAAAGTTGAACTATACCTGAATCATTCCGTGTCCACTGTAAATCACTGACTGCATCAACACACACACCACAAGAATACTAACTTGTGCCCAAAGCTGTGAGTTTATTTTGGCTCTTCCCCACTGTGCACACACACACACAAACACACACACACATGCTCTCAGAGTTGCAACGTTGTTTCTTGCCTCTGACTGAGGCAGATGAGATTTTGTCCCTCTGTTAGGGGAGCAAATGTAGCAGATAATAGAGTTTCATGTGGAGAACAGTGAGAGGCGCGACTAGCCAGGCGAGTAAACACGTCGGAAACTTATCCCGTCTGAAAGGATCCAAATAAACACTGCTCACGCCAGCAAAATAGGCAACCGGTAGGTTCGCTCTAATCATTCCCAAGTCGGATGCTGTCTTCCAGTCAGGTGCTCAGGTCTCCGCCGGCTCATCTTACTGAGGCAGAAATCTATTGTGGGAGACTATTCAGGTGTTGGAGGTTATCTGGAGATAACCCTCTGTGTTTCTTTTTCTTGGATTAGGGAGCCTCTCTGAGCAAATAAATCAAATCCGTGGGGATGGAATGAGATTCATTCAGAATACAGAATAACTGACTTCTATGCAGTTTTCTCATTTTGCCTGCAGTGGAGAAGGAGATGCTTATCTGAGTACGTGCGTGTGTGCACATATAGGGTATGTGTGTGTGGTTGTTGTTTGAAGAGAAACAAAAAATGGAAAGGCAGACATGCAAATGCAAAAAAAAAAAGACTCTTGGTGTACCTATTTATATAGCCAGGTGCCACATCTACAGTTTCTGGTCTGGTGTTGTGCTAACTGATAGCTGCTGGCTGATACCAGCTGCAAAACAACCGGCTAATCCGAGAACTGCAATACCACTGTTGGAAATATGGACAGCTGTACACACGCATTTGTTATGATTACATTACTTATGAGCAAAAATGAGCAAGTCTACAACTTTGCTGACACAGCCAAACATCAAGCAAGTGCAACAACACAATACACAGCAAGCCAGCTAATATTCTGAAGTGCAGCAGCAAGAAGGCCAGCTCGCCGTTTGTTTCACAAAGCTCTCACTAAGGAGTAAAAAGCCGCTCCTACATTTACTCTTGTCCGACGTCTTCTCTCTGCTTTTCTCTACGCAGCTTCCCCTGTCATCCTCTTCAGTCTCTTATCCTCTGCCATTAGGTATGTCCATAGACAGAGCTGCTGAGCCCGATCACATTGCCAGCTCGTCCGGTTTCGATTCTGGCACGATGTCGGCCCTGCTCTCTGTTGGCATTCCCTTCCACCCCAGGCCTGAAAAACATCCTCCTCCTGGCGGCCCACAGCCCCTGTGCTCCACCAACACACTCCCCCAGAGCTCTGAGCACCCAGCCTGTGTCTCCAGGCCAGTATGGCTAAGCTAATTATCTACCAGCAGCTACATTTTGCAGCAGTTACTTTACTGTCCATCAGGAAACTCTGTAAATGACAGAGAGATGAGGTGGAGTAGCCGGAGCCCGATCTAATTTCATCAAAATTAGCGTCAGTGGTGTGTCACTACTGCCATAAAGCATTACGCCCTTGTCCGGACCTGGAGCCAAAAGTTACAGGCGTACGGAGTGCAGAGTGGGAGACACCACTCACTCTATTACAACTCAGTGTAGCATTAAAATGATTTTGAAGCTGTTATTTTTTCAGGTAGAAAAGTTACTTAATGTTGTTTTAAGAATAGGGACAAAAAATTATTGTTCTGCCTCCTTCAGTGACCAAAAGAAATCAAGTGAAAATTAGGAGAAAACACTGAATCCTTGAATCTTTCAGCTATCATTAGCTTTAGTACAAAATGACCAATTTAAGTCTTAGTTTCCATAAACCCCTAACAGCCTAACAAAGGATAAAATCACTGGGGAACCCCATTTATTCTCTCTAATGCCAGTGCATTCAAAGTCGCTCTTTCTGGTGCTAATATCAAAAGCTTTATTCCCCAAATGCTGCAATTTGAAATACATTATACAGCCCTGAATGCCTGCTCTCCACCTCCCACTAAATGGGATCAATTGGCCTGGCAACATGCTGTTGCTGTGCACGATGACGTCTTTGACAGTCCGTTCACGTCGACACGCAGCAGAGGCCCAAACACACACACACACAAACAAACACACACTAACATACCAGCTTCAACCAGGGACTACCAGGACATTAGTTCCATCACACACAGACGGTCTCTGAAATTCTTACACATGTAGACTCATACACTGACATAAAAACTATAACGATAAAAGAGGAAAACGGAAACAGCAAGAGAAGATGGAGAGGCTGTGTGTGGAAAAAAAAATAGGAGAGGGAGTATGACTCAATCTGGATTCACACCTCTGAGGGAGAAGACAAATAGACAGACAGGGAGAGAGACAGGGAGTAAAAAAAAAAGGCACTGAAGGACGAAGAAAGACGGGACGCTGCGGGCAGATAAGCACAGTTTGTGGAAAATTGTCCCAACAGGCGATAAGAGGAGAAAGACATGTATCTCATTGAGTCTGAAGGGGCCCTAATGCATGTTCATTCCAGCTGTCACACTGATAGTAAACACAAAGTCTAATCTGAGTTGCAGATGTGTGGGAGACCTTGTGTGTGTGTATGTGTGTGTGTCACTGTGTGTATGTGCGTGTATTTGCTAGCCCAGCTTGACGGCAATCTAGCTGATTGGATAAGCTAGTTAAACATGTTTGCGTGCCAGAGTCAGTAGTGATAAAGCTTACATTCTGATGGCAGTTTCCTCAAACTCAAGGCACTTGTTATTAGGATGATGTAAAGTGGCGTCTGAGGACTAACAACTACCAGCTCTAAAAGGTCCACACTGAAAGCAGGAATAGTTTCACCTCGCTCTTATTTGGCTTTCTTGAAATTAGAAATGTTTAAGATGCAGTGAAATGTCATTCTAGGTACATATAATTAAACTTTATTTATTCAGGTCTCACTGAGAAACTCTGACTTCTGCAGGAGAGACCTGAGAGCAAATTAAACATAAACACCACAACAAGCAGGGGTGTTTCCAGAGGAGGGGCCTGGGGTGGCACTTGCCTAAAACCTGATTGGCCACCCCATTATACCCTCTTCCACTCTGTCTTTCAGAGGCTGCAGTGGGCTCCATTTTAAAGCTAGAGTGAAGATACAGGTATCATATGAAACTACATGACCTAACGCATGCTACCAGATATGTAATGCTAGCAAGATGGAAAAGAGGCTGAATAATGCTTCAAAGTTAGGCAATTTTAGTGATGGACAAAGTGGCATGGACATTTAGATCTTATGCCAATCCCATACAGTTTTGGGAAAAGTTTTTTGCATGTGATATAAAGGTGTTATTTTTGCCTAGTGTATTTGAATATTTCTGTATACCAGGGTCGCTAAACAGTATTGGAACTGCATAAATTGGGAATGACTGGAAAGCTGAGACACATACTTCATACCACCCCTGCATGACAGTGCCCCACTTGTGCCACCCCAGTCAAAAAAGTCTGGAATCAAAAACAGTTTTAAATGTCAGCAACTTAACATGCCCTGGAAATCTTGACCTACAGTGGTTTAATTTCTCACTTTGCTGCAGTGAAAGTAAGACTTTGTCTTGTGATATGAGATATATGTGTAAATATATGTAAAACGTGGAAAATGATCAGGCTCCAGTGGTCGAATATGTATCTATATAGGAGTCATATAAAAATACTTGTTCTACTATATCAAATTATGATGCTGAAGGCACTGTAGTGGGTCTGTTGATAAAGCAAGTACTGTGTGTTGGTCCAAGGCTGAACGTTCCAAGGATGTATGGCAGGTAGTCCTGGATGGCTGAAGACTAAATAATACAAAGTGAATGCTGCCTGTATTATTGATGAATGAGCCAAATTACAGAAAGGTATCAATAGTTTAAGTCAATGCTGCCCAAAGTGGGCTGTGTGTTCAAAAGTTGGCCTGCCATATGCTTCGATTTTGTGCACCAGCAATAGCAAAGAATTTTATTATAATAATTTTTCAGAATCTGAGCACAGCAGGTCAATTTATAAAACTTGGGATCTTATTACTATTCTGCAGATGAACAATACAGTACAATAGGTGTTTACTTTTGGCCAGACCCACCATTACGTTTCAGTTTCTTTAACTTTTGGACCATTGGCTGGACAAACAAGCAATTTCAAGACGTCACCAGGAAACTGTGTTGGACCTTTTTCATATTTTGGAATACTTTATAGACTAAACAATTAATCAACAATGAAAGTAATCATTAGCTGAAGCCCTAAAATGAAATAACGGCATACGTAGGTGAGTCTGTACTGGAGCTAAAGCATTTAGGTATTAGATAATTGCAAAAGACAAAATGGCCTGCATTGGCCTTTTGACAGCAGCATTAGTTTTCATATTACTGAGTGCTATTTTGGACAAATTGCTCTAAACTCTGCAGATGCCAAGAACAGCCACAGAAGAACTTTTCTTCAAGGCTACATCAAATACATTAGACAGGCCAGAGCCTGAAATGGGCCAGTACTCACAGGTACTGAGTACTCATTTTTGTCCGCATGCTTCTTACTTACTCTTACTTCTTACTGATGAGTCCAGGCATGATTGGCTAGTTTGTTGCCTTTGTTGGTTTGGGGTGCTTAGGTTTAGATAGATAGATAGATAG